GATCTGATTTGATCCAATTAGGTCCAGTTCTGGGTCCCACGCTATATTTTCGGATCGAGATTGGACGCTAGTCCCATATCATTATTCGGGTGTAGGTCCTACTCACCTGAACTCAATGGCTTCAAGTTAGAGGAACTCACATGTTAAAGGTTATCCACTTTCTTTTTCCATTGGAGTTTTGAAGTTCAAATTTTCTCTTTTAGAGGGGGAAAATATCATGGTTGCTTTCAAAGCCTATAAAAAATATCATAGTTGCCTCCCTCTAAAAAATATCATGATTGCTCTCAAGGTTTCGGCAGCTTTGTTTAGTTGGGAGAGTGGGCTTAGAAGCAAACATTTTTAATGTTTAAAGAGAGATACTTCTTGTAACCTAAAACTAATAGCAAATTTCAACTTGTCATGCCCATAAATGTTGCCCCTTAGAGTGAACCACGTAAATCACGTGATAATGTGGAGTTCTTAAGTGGGATTTTGTATTTAGCCAACGTAGGGGAAACCCAATATTTAGTTTCCTAGTTCTACAAATGAGATTTTTTCAAAAAAAAATTACCCCTCTGACAATATTGAAAAACCCCATTTTGAAAGATAAACTTTATCAAAAACATCAAAAATTGAAAATATTAGTAAAAAGCACCATTTTGAAAGAGAAAATTCTCTCTCCATTTCCCACCTAGATGGAGAAAGAGAAACTAAAAAAAAATTTGAAAAATTAAAAGGAAGGCAGTGAAAAGGTAACATAAACAAAAAACAACTTTAAAAGTCCAAATAACCTTAAAATAAAATAAAAAATAGATTTAAAAAATAATTTGTAATTTAAGATAATTTAAAAAAAATATAAAATGGGGATTATAATAAAAATCATTCATTAATCTTTAACCAAAACACCAAAATCATATAGAAAATTTCACAGAACAATCCCACAATTTAGACAATTTTTTGAAATTGTTAGAAAAAATTGTGTAACCCGAGTTGGACACAACTCCTGGTAACTCGGCCTCGGCCATCACCTAAGTCGAGTGGACTTGGTGAGTCCAACCATGTTTAGAGAGACAATCCACCCGATGAGTTTATGCTCTAGCATAAAAGAGAAAGGGAGCCAATTATTCTCTGCTTTCTTAAAAGGAGAGCATCCTGGTTTTGGTCGGGGAAAATAAGAGCACAATAAGAAACTATGCAGGTGTTAAAGCATTACAGCCAAGGCCGGGTTTTGGCACTGCACCACAATGATAACCAGCTACATAACCAAATAGAACCAAAACAAGTATCAGATCTCTCTCCCTTACCAGCAAAAATATCTAAAACCAACACACATTTCAGCTTCTCTCTCTTTCTGGTATCACAATTCCTTCTCTCCCTATATCTCTCTCTCTCTCTCAAGACTCAAGGTGACAACTCCTTTACAGAAGTGAGACTGGGTTGCCACCCTGGCCCTTGCAAGCCCCTTTTGATGGGCGGCCTGAAAGGCTTCTTCGACGCACTCATGTTTGTCCACCTCTTCCGAATGCAGGTCGACCATCTATCTCTAGCCAAAAAGAACTCCCTTGCAGAACAAATCGAACAATCCTCTCCATCTTCTCCCTCCTCGCACTTCTTCACCACTGAGTCCCTCTCAAATGCACGCTTAGCGAGCTCTAGTGAACTCTCTGAGTGTCTTTCTCTAAGCTTCCGAACAGTGCTTTGAGGGACTAACAAGAACTTCTGACCAGGCAAAAGGGACTCATCAGGGCTTACAAGAGACTCATGGGGTCTCTTGAAAACCTCAGGCCTTGCAAGGCAAAGGCCTGGGTGTTTCTCTAAGACTTCAGCTGCCCTTATTGCCACATAATACTTCTCTACAAATCCCCCTGCATGGACAATTCTCAGTTCGCACTCCCGCAAGCTCTTCTCCATCAAGTAGCCCTCATCTTTCTCAATCTTCTTTGCCCAATCTCTCCTCCTAAAGAATGGGATCAGCCTTCGAACCTTCATGCGGCAGCACTGCTGTTTCATAAGACAGTGAAACAAAATCCAGGGCCTCTCCTCTCTCTTGCCAATGGGAACTGAGAGGCTCTCTCTCTCCGTCTCTCCATGGCTCCAAAGGACACCAGCCTTGTATAACTTCAACAGTTGGGAATAAAACGAGGAGTGTCGGAGAACCCAAAGCACCCCAAAAATGTATTATAATGGGCAGAAACTCACAATAAATGCATTAAACCAAGGACCTTGTAGCGCCAAACACTAAATCCAAAGGTGCCCATGACAGTCAGCTGGAACCATCTTCCTATAATACTGAAGTATTGCTGGACCCATTTGAGATAAGATTGAATTATGCCAAACCCAATTTAGATTAACATGTATCATACCAAAGCCACTTGAGCCATTGATCATATAAGCTGGACCCATTTCTTGTGACCCTTTCTTGTGGGCCTAAGAGCACCAACGCTAAATCCAAAGGTACCCATAAAAGTCAGCTGGACCCATCTTCCTATAATACTGAAATATGCTGGACCCATTAGAGATAAGAATGAATTATGCCAAACCCAATTTAGATTAAGATGTATCATACCAAGGCCATTTAAGCCATTGATCATATAAGGTGGACCATTTCTTGTAACCCTTTCTTGTGGGCCCGACAGAGAGCTCATTGACTTGGGGAAACACCAGCTATAAAGGAAGTCTTGTCCCACTCTCGTGGATCGCACTTTCTCTCCATCATCACCACCTATCATTTCACTCAACAGTGATGAACCCAACGAACCCTGGTTCACCACAATTCCTTAGGCTGCAGTATAGTTTCTCCAGTGAGTCACACTCTTTCCATCACCATCCATCATATCATGAAGGATGATGGACCATGTCCATTGGATTATAGTGCCTTTTCCCTGTTTCCATTAAACATAGTATACTAGAATGAACGAGTTAACTTGGGGCCCCACCAGCTGTGAAGGCACATGCGGGACCCAGGATCATAGGCCCACAAACCTGAAGAGACTTGGCGCTGGAGCTTTCTCTTTCTTCCACTAATCCAGTTGTTATGGAGAACCACACATCCAATTTTAGCACAAGCTTTTGTCACATTTTTCTTCTCCCAAAGGCCTCGATAAGCCCCATTGGGAAAGAGATTTCGATTGAGGAAATGGACAGTAAGATTGGTCGTGGGCTCCATGCACTTATCAGGACCCACACGATTCTTGCCACCTTCTCCACAGAGAATATCATAAAAGCTTGGTTGCTCAGAGAGGTCAGAGGTTGAGGCATGCTCCACCACCATCTCCATGGCAGTAATAGTGGTGCCATCAGAATGCGCAAAGTAGAAGCCGGAGTTTAGTCGCCTTGGCAGGTTTATTGGCACTACAAAGATGAAGCCACATGGGTTATTAAGGCTTTTTTGTTTTTTTTTTTGGAAAGGGGGGAGGGGGGGGTGGGTTCCTCAGGAAATACTCTCAAATATCTCAAACAAGATTAGAATAACAAAATGTTGCAACAAAAAAGAAAAAACTAGAAAAGTAGGTAGAAAACAAACTTTCTCCTGTTCTTTCCAGTTTTAAGTAACTTGAATGAATTTGTTAAGGGCTTCGTTATAAAATACTTGTCATTGAAAATGCAATGTTTTTGGAAGATTTTCAGAGAAAAAGGGAGATATATGTCACTATGATATTAGTAATGAACCTCTGGCTGGAAGGTGCATTGAAGGGGCAGGTGATCGGCGTTTCAGGAATTGGGGTCTACCCAAAACTTCCTTGGGAGAAGTCATTTTTTTTTTCCGCAAGTGGGTGAAAGACTCCTTATAAGGAAAAATTATTTCCTTCAAATTACTAAACTTTTCACTTTTGAATCTTTTTTCCCAAGTGGTTCTCCAAAATCCACCTTACAAGAAACTTCAGTGTAGATAAGTAAGCACATCATGTCATTGGTAGATGAAAGAATAATATTTTTCACTAACACTAGTGAATGAAAGAATAGCTTCTAGACATCTAATAGAACACTACCTGTTTCATTGTATTCATCTGATTGTGCAACAAGTACTGAAGGGCCAAATGAGCGGAGATATGGAATGGGGTTGGAGAACCAGTAGATATCAACATCACTGAGGAGCACGTCATAACCAAGCTTTAGTATCTGCAAAACTATCCGGGATTTCACCTTTGTGACCCTCTGAAAACACTTTGTACCAAAATGACAGTCATCAAAGCTGATGTTCTTTGGAGCAAGTCCATCCTTGAAGACGGGCAATCCCTGAAAATATCAACCCCTTTCAGTTCAATTTAACCAAAAAATAAATAAAACATAAATCTTTTCAAATGTTGCATATAAAAAGATAAAAAGGAAATAAGCACTGCAACAACCAGAACCCATTCTCAAAAGGCATATTTGGTTGGAAAAATAAAACTCTAGTTCGAAAAAGAAAAACTCAATATATTGGATACAACGTTCACATAGAATTAATCTACATACAAGTAGACAAAATGTTAGCTTCTAATCATTACATTTCAGGAAATCCAATGGCCAATACATGGATCTGGGCCATTCTACCCATTTCAGTTACAAACCTTGTAAACAAACCAAAATTCTTTCAAGTTACTTAACAAGCTTGTAAGCCATACCCAGTATGGGTCAAATTCTTCTTATCAAAAAAGTTAGCAGAAATTCTCCAAAACCCGCTTGTTTGCAAGCAAACAGACATTTCCAGTAATTTTGTGATCAGTTCATTTAGTTTTTAAAAATAAATAAATGAGATCAAACTGGATGAAATGCTGCCAAACTATACTGTGAGGACAAAAAAAGAACAGAGATTTTTGGGAATCTGAACCAAATATACCTGCAACACTGAGAACTGGTAAACCTTAGGGTCTAGGGCACAAACAATGAAGTTTGAGATTTGAAGGTGGCGTAACCTACATACCCAGCTCATAAGCATGTCTCTATAATTGTCTCCAACGATTGCTAGAACAACATACTTCTCATGGATAGCCACTGTTTGGAGGAGAGATTCAAGGGAGAAAGGAAGCAACAATGGAGCTGAAACATTAAGAGCAATATTTTGCTTTTCTTTGTTTGGACAGTCCGACTTCATGTTAGACAAATTCCCTCTCTCTAGACAAGCCAGTCTTTTCTTGTTTCTCCATGAATGCAACATAATAGTTTTCCATAAACTAGAGCTCCTTTGATTTTGAACCAGTAAAGAGTGATCCATTTGAGATGGCTCCATATTTGATTCTTTCCATCGAGAATCAATTTCATCAGGTGGGTTTTTGAACAGATATTGCCCATCACACCTGACAAGTTTCACCAGCTTTTTGGAAAAATTAATGGGACGGAAGTAAAAGGATCCATATGAAGCAGAGAGATCAGCATTACCCTCGTACTCCCAGTTTTTCTCTCTATCCATAACTTCTGAATTCCTCAAGTAACTGCTGTGATGATGCACAATGATTTCTGAAAAGAAGCTCGATATGACCTCACTAGCATCGAACACGAACCTTAGGTTTGATGAGAGAGCCTCATTCAAAACCCATTGATTACAAAATCCTCTTGAATACAAGAAAGGAGGAAGCACCCCTGCATGTAGAGGCAGCTGCCCTGTGTTCCATGCAAAGAGCATTCTGTCCCCACACTTTCTCCATTTCTGTTTCTGTGCTAGGAACTCCTGCAACTGCAAAAAGAGCAGAATCCAAATTCAATTATACCTCTTGCAAACTAATTACTAGATTTATTTCAGGATAGCGTTTTCCAAAAATACTTTTTATTGTAATGGTTTTCTCTCTCTAGGTTTGACAAACTTCATTGAGAAAGTATAATGCAAGCTCCCTCCCTCTCTCTCTCTCTCTTTATGAGCATCAAACTTCAGAGCTGCACCATAAAATCTCCCTTCCAACCTCCTAGCTAAACTTGAATCACTTTCTCTTTCTTTCATACCTTTTTTAGTGTAGTGAGTTGCCCACCCTCTCGGAGCCATTGTTGCACTTGATTGTCAAAGTAGAAGGGGAAGTCGGAAACACTAGATGAGGTGGCAATGAGGAGCCAATCATGGTTGAGTTTGTGAGCATAGCACAAAACGGAGATGAAGTCTGAGAGGACAACAGTGTCTGGATCTATCACAACAGATACATCTGAGTTAGAAGCCCGTGACCTTGAGATCATAGAATGGAAGAATGGTGTCCCTGTGAACCTAAAACCAGAGGGGCAGGATGTGTCACCGGAGATTTTCAAGTTTCAACATAAGCAGTGGAAACAACGTTAATTACATGTGAAATCCATTCTTATAGATTTTGGCATGCTTGCACTAATTTGAATCATAAATTTAACAGAAATTTCTCAGACTACACAAAAAGATACACTATCTGACATTTTACCCCTATAGTTTGATTTTATTTCAAAATACCCATAAAATAAACATGATTATAAGTTGGAATGGTTGTGAATTGGTAAAATGTTGAATAGTGCATCTCTCGTAGTTAGTTTGGTAAATTTCACTAAACTTAAAAGGGATGTGACTGAAATAGGACCCAAATAACAAGGGAAGGACAGGAGACATACTAAAAAGCAAAGCACGTTATCAACATGTATGTGCAAATGAGCATGCAAGCATGTAGTTGTATGCATGTGCGTGTATGTTGGGGGGGGGGAAGGGAGAGAAAGAGAGAGAGAGAGAGTACAGACGAAGGAAATTGCATTCCCAATAAAGATCACTTGAGAAGCATGTTTGGTGGTTCATAGTATCTGATATTTGCATAGCTAGATGCAATAACAATGATGAATCAAGCATGCCAGTTCACGCCTGATCCAAAGCAATCACATCTTTGAGCTATTAAACAAGCTCAGCTGCTCAGGTAAATTAAATAGCCAAAGTGATGGAACATCCAAATTCACACACTCGCACGAACGCAGATTGGCAAGAATTAACACAGCCTTAAGTGCAAATTATGCGATACTTGCTAGTTGTCAGGTGCTTTAAAATAGCAAGAAGCGGCGAAATGTTGCATAAAGCGTTTAGACATAATATAGGCTCATGGCTTCTATCTCTACATAATTGCAATGTCTACTGGGACTACTCATTTTCACACGATGTACACATTGTTCACAAATATTCATTTTAGACCCAAAAAAATTATTATAAATCAAACCTTAGCAATTCTCATGTTAAAACCATAAACTTTTTACATAAAACCTTTCATGCTAGAATAACGAACTTTGAAAATGACCATCACTTTATACAGAAGAATAAATAAACAATAAAAATCAATATGAAGAAGCAATCCATGATTTCCTAAATATATAAGGACTTATTGTGGTATACTGCGTTTTAAGAGAGTAACCACCATCAAGCTTTTCATTCCCCAATGGAAAATATTAGCTCAACAGGGAGCTTTAGAGATGTCGTTTCATACAATTTAAGGGAATTACTATCATTAGTGTAACATGTTTCATCTCTTTGAAACTGAGGTATCCGAACACCGGGCATCACTCTAAAGCTTGACCTTCAACCTAAGAAGGGGATAGATGACCCAGAGGACACCACAAGTGAAGGGACATTAATTTTTACTCGATCCTTGTGCCTCAAAATGCTTGTAATAAAGTAACATCCCTCAACCTCTTAGAGAAAGAAGGTTCTTCTTTGTGCATAAATCGGGGACAAATCAAATAAGTACATCAAATCCTGATAACTAAGGAAAAATCAATATAAAATTTCTTATATAGCTCAACATGAAGAGCACCCTGTCGATTTATTCATTTGTTCAACTCAAGAGTGAAATTGAATCAGTAGCTCGCCAGAATATCTGAGTGCACTAGTGAGCATTTTAGGATCAACCCACTGTTTTAACTCTTCCGATAAAATTATACTACTAGAAATGCCCAAATAGCTAAAATGTGGTTCATTTCACAGTTTAGAATCCCTTCAGTTTAAAAGTGGCAACTGAAGTTACGGAACCAATTTGTGGATAACCACTCTTTATGAGATCAGATCAATAAAAGAATGCCCTTTTCTTCCAGTCCTAACACCATTTTATACAAAACAACAACTATGCTCCCACATATAACTGAGAGATCACCTTTTTAATCCTAGAAAACTTCCATAGAAAGATCCTAAAGGCTAGAAATACATCTATACAATTGCCATCCATTAACAATCCAGTCACTCATACCCATTTTGATGTTGGAAAATTGGTTCTTAGTCGAACTAGAAGACTTGAGTCAATCTAATTAGCAAATCACAGTTAACCATTATTAGCTTATCATTGTCAACAAATCATTCAGCGTTTCATCTTCCATAAGTTTCTTAATCCCTCATTATTCACTAACTCACCCTAAAGAACATCCGAGTAGAAAAGAAAAGCAATGAAAAACATATCTAATCCAGTTACTGCTACGCTCTTGAATGCAATTCCTTGACAAAAGAAGTAAAATACAATTTCTTGGGAAATGTCGATAGAGAAAACCTGGACAATACACAAGGGCAATCTGATCTAAACATAAAAGACGTGCAAATGGTACCTATCTAGAGACAAAAACCCAGAGCAATGGCACAAGAACAAGAAGTAAAGAAGTTCTACATCATGAACTTACGTAAAATCAATTGCTGTTTCAACTGTAACACGAGAGCCCAAAGTGTTTGCAACTGTTAAGGCAGATGGGTGCTGTGTAAACAGAACCACCTGAAGAGCTTGTGAGAGAGCTAGCCATGAATGAATTGCAAAGACTTGGCGTGCCCCTACCAAGCCTTCAAAAGGGTTCGGAGCTGAGAAAATAGTAACACTGAAACCTCCATCTTCATTATCTTTTTGGGTAGTCCTAGGCTTAATCTGATCTTTAAGAGAAGGCAGCAACTGTATGGCGTAAAGAGAGAAAGCAATCAACAGTAATCCAGCTACCCAAACAGATAATAGGCCAACCTGAAATACCTGGTTTTTCCAAATAGGGAAAAGCGCAGATAAAAAGAGAAAAACCCATATCAATTAAAAGTTCAAGAGATTGGGGATCATCTTAGAACCATATATACTGGTCTACTGGATGCAATAGAGGATTTCTTCAAAGAAAAAGAAAAAAGAAATGCACCAGAGGATTTCTTCATTAAAAGAAAAAAATACGCGGTAGAGGATTTCTTTTACAATGAGTGATGTTACCTAGTTCAGTTCGAAAATTGCAAGAAAAAGGGACTTGAAAATAAATTTTTTGAAGAAGATATAAACAGGAAAATCCATGAAATGAGAAGGGGACAGATGAGTTCTTTCTGCTAATAGTGATCTCCGTATGCTGGGTATCAAACTGAAAAAAAAAATTCAAGTAAGTTTGGGCGTCCTCTTAGCACCAAATATACAAGAAAAAACCATGAAAATGCAAAAAAAAAATAGGGTTTTGTCTTTTTCACCATGATAACGACCATACCTTGTTGGGTCTGATAATGGCTAAGAACCCATTCCCCATCTTTGCTTGAGAAAGCATTTACCACCTGGAAACGGCATGAAATATGAAATAACCAATGGGTCTCGTGAACCAATGACTATACACAAGGAATTCATTAAAAGGAGAAGGGGAAAGGAGTGCTTTTAAACCCATTGTTTTGACTAAGAAGTGGAGCTTTAACTGACTGGAGGATTACCATGTGACCCTTGTGTCATGAATACGTCAGCACACTTTGGAACACTGCAACTACCGATTCAAAAGTCTGGTTTATTGGGCCTCTTTCTTATACTGCTTTGCATACATAATCTCTCTCTTTGCCGGAACTCGGACAGACAATTTGAATGGAAATTACACTAGTTAACTAGAAAATCACTTAGATTATAATGGATTATATATAACGAGACCATTTACCTTTGGAAAAGGTCAGAATTACTTACAACCGTATGGAAGTGAAATATGATAGTTTTGATGTGTCACAAAGTTTGAGATTTTTTTTCGTTGAATGACATACAAACGCAGCAACCCAATTTCACATTGATAGTCAAGATTAATTGTTAATTATGATCACTTTATACCAAAGGTAAACCTTATATCAAAATTAAATGTTTTTTAATTATAATTGTTATAATTGTTAACAAAAAGATACGAATCCAACAGCCCAGACTGAATCTGGGCCGATCTGATAGTCACGACTCATTTCGTATTTGAATTTTAATTTGTTTTTTACAAATTCAAATCACTTAAAATTTTAAACATATGTTCTTCTCATCAAGCCTCACCTAATAAAAAATAAAAAAAAAATAATCCATAAAAAAACAATTGACTAAAATACCCCAAAACTTTATGGGGATATTTTGGTCAATTTTTTTCATGTAAAATATTTTTTTGATATTTTTCGAAGATTTACCTATTTTTAATGAACATATACCTAAAATTTCAAGTGATTTGGATTTACAGAAAAAATTAAAATTCAAACACTATCAGGCATCTGTGATAGTCAGATCGGCCTAGATTCAATCTGGACCGTTGGGCTCACAGCTTTTTATTGGCTAACAAGAAGATTTTGCTATATATATATATATATATATATATATATATATAATGTATATAATGAGACTATTTATCTTTTATATATGAAGGTCACAATTAGTTACAACCATCATATGTGAATTATGATAGCCTGGATGGGTCACAAAGTTCGAGAAAAAAAATTTTGGACTTTAAGCTTTATCAATAAAATAACTACAGCTACCCAATATCACATCCAATGGGCATGATCAATTGTGATCACCTTGTACCAAAGGTAAATGGTCACATTATATATATAATTAAAAATAAATTGTAAATTATCTAAAGCCTCATCCATACCCCTTTTCTCTATTGTTTACATTTTTTAATGAAAGCATCCTTTATGGTTGTCTTAGGCATCGCAATCGATTCAAAAGCGTGATGAAATTTCAAACACCGTGATGATTATTGGGTAACTGGAGATTATAGAGCATCATGGCCTTTCAAACACCGTGATGATTATCAACGTATTAGGATTTTAAAATCATCACGTTCTGAAGAGTATTGTGATGTTTTTCTTGTACATCATAGCCTTTGAAACATTGTGATGCCTCTATTGACCATCACAGTATTTTAAATATCATGATGGTTATGAATGTACTTGAACTTTAAAATCATCACGGTCTATAGAGTGTCGTGATTTTATTTTATTTTTACAATAAAAAAAGACACCGTGATGCTTCGTTATACATCACGGTTGATGTCATTCTTTACCAGCATAGCATTTTAAATACTGTAGTGGTTGTTTGGGTACTGGAACTGTAAAAGCCTCACGGTCTTTTCTCCACAACCATCACGATTCTAGGTCAACCGTAACGCCTTCACATATCTAAGACTACCATAAAATGTATTTTCATTAAAAAATGCAAAAAATGAGACAAAAAAAAAAAGAAGTACCTACGAGGTTTTGAAAAATTTCAGATTTATTTCCATAACCTTAAAAAACTGTATATTTTTTATAATGTCCCTACATTTTTAATAATTATCCGATTTCAAATTAAATATGGGTGCAATCACATACAGGAGAAACAAATATCTAATGTAAATGGTAGGACTCCCTCCGAAGACGCATTTCTGCCCAAATTGTAAACATCACATTTGTCGCTATGCCGTGCATTTCCCTAACAATAATAATGGAAATTTATCTAAAAGGTGAGATTTGTATAGAGCCGAGGTTCTAAACAATCAAAGTAAAACGCACCATTAAATAGTATCAATGGTTTCAATATTGGAAATCTTTATAATAGCCTTCAAAAATATAAAGCTTCAAAAATACTATAGATCAAACAGATCTATGAAAAGTTGAAAATCTTGAAAATTGACCGTCAAAAATACATTACAAGATGCATTGAAATAATACATTACAAGATGTATTGAAATCCACTTTTTTTATCATGTCCATGCATTTTGAGATTGAGATGATCAATTTGAAGACATTTGTGCATCAAAACAACTTCTTCTAGTGAAATTTTTTAAATGCGCCCGATTAGAGCCTCGCACTTATATAAACTTTTTCCTTATCTAAATTCTACTATAGATGAATTATTCAAGAGGAAAGTTCATACAAGGTTGCAATCTTATTTCTATAAACAAGACTGCAATAATCTATATCATCCATTTTAATGAAACCATTTACCTTTAGAAGATGGAGGTGACAATTACTTACTACCATCCAATGTGAAATATGTTGGCTTGAATTTATCATCAAATTCAAAAAAAATTCTTCTTAACTTTGAGCTTAGTCAATAAATTAAATGCAACTGCCCAACTTCACATCCAATGGTCAAGATTAATTATGACCACCTTGTACCAAAGGTAAATGATCTCATTATATACTCTTCTCCATTTGCAAATAGTATCCAATTTACATTCTCCAAACACATCTTTTAATAGTGGCCAGTCAAAATAAAATAGACACCGTACAGCATCGCAACATTATTTCTACAAATAAAGTTCAACCTACAAGAAAACTCGAAACCTCGCTCTCTTTTTCAGGCCTAGCCAAACCCAACAAGCCCATTTTCACTCATACCCAGCCTTCCAAGGCCCGCCCAGCCCACTTGGCACCCAAGTTGTGCTAAAGAAAATCTGAAAGCAATCTGTTCTTTCCTTTAAAATACCATACTGAGATTCGAATCCAGGATGTTGTGTTATATCAGTATTACCGGGTGTTCAGTAATAAGACAATAAGTCCAGTTATGAGTCCTAGGACTCATAAACCACGTCCAATTAAAAGCAAGCACACAGTGGCCTACCAATCTGAAGCAAAGCAAATATATACAGGATAAAAAAGTACATTATTTCATGAAATGGGTATCAGATATCTCAAAAAGTCATAATAAATAAATCATCACATTAACACAATTTAGGAAACTGGAGAAGTACTTTCACCACAACAGAAAAACATTACCAAAAAAGAAACAGATTTTGCACGCATGTGTTTGAGAGAGAGAGAGAGGAGACAGAGAGAGACAGATGAACACATTCATACACCTATGTAAAACATACAATAGGACGTCCTGATACACGGCCCAGACAAAACGGTGCTAAGATCAAGTCATCTTTTGCCCAACATCAAGTCTGCAACCATACCTCCGGAAAGGAACCATTCATTGTTCCTCATTCCATAACCTCACTACCTGTCTTTGATACGCAAAAATTGACTTCATCAAAACTCAGAGAACTAATGCATCTTGACTAAACGGGCTCTTCTTCATCTCCCCACCCTTCGCAATCCAGTGCTCCTCATATGCTTGCTGATTCTTTTGAAGTAAACTGTGCATCATTGCCCCACTTTCGATATGATCTTGCCCTTGACTTGCCGATACCAATGATTTGAATAACCCGTCAGAGTCCATATCCACAAATAAGTAAAAGATAGATCACTCAACTCCGCCTCCATGCAGGTGATCCCGATCTCGACCTCTTGCGTCTGCATATACCAAACTATAGTGAGCAAAGAAAAACTCTTTCTTGGGGATTGTGAAAAAAACGGGGCGTCAAACAACATTTAGTGCCATAATAACCCATTTGGCTTTTCTCAAAACATTGACACCAAACAAGAAGAACCAAAAAAGCACATGGATCTGGCTACTCGGCTTGGTGATTTAGCACAAGATCAGTTTCTTTTTTTTGGAATGGTTAAGAACAAGTAGACCTGCACAATGGTCTAAAAGTTGGAACCAGCTTACCCACCCAAAAGTAAAATAACCAAACAACCGACGATGGTTTTGCATTTAGTTGTTACCATATGCATATCTGATAAACTTCTGTTGCAAGGTTAATGAAAACATGATTCATATGCTCAGTATCATACCTGGTTCCGTGAGAAGAATAGGGAGAATGCCTGCGTTGAGAGTGCTTCTCATGTGGAGACCGCGAAACTTGTCTAGAAATAACACATCATACTCATCCAGTAAGTTAAACCAATTCTGAGATTAAACTTCTTACTCTGTTCCATAGCCAGCACCCAATGAATCTATCATGATATGATGTCCTCATATTTATATGGAACACCACTCCCTCTCAATGGAAATAGGTCACTCAGAAACTCCATGAATAGGTTATAAAAGAATCATATAATTGGAGAGAGAGAGAGAGAGAGAGAGAGAGAGGAGGGAGGGAGGAAGAAGAGCACGAAGACGACGACCTAACTAACTACGTCCGTCCTACTATTACTAACGAAACGACTACTACGAGTAGTAACGTAAAACCCGT